ATCTTCCCATTACAATTATAACATTGAATATTAAATATTAATGCAATATATATTATAAAATAGTCACGTTTTTTTAGTGATATATCATGCAACGCAGAATTCTGAAATAATGATAGTGATCGATTCCACCTAATATATGGACAAATTAAAAAAGCTTCCCAGAAAACCTCGACTGATAATTAATAATTCATGGCTATTTCAAAAGTTTCACTACTAGAAATTTGCTATTTAGTGACGGACGGATTCGTTGCTACATAGACCAAATTCGTCGCTAATCACAATTTCGCGACAGATGAAACTCGTAACTAAATCCGTAGATAAACACCGCGTCGCTAAATTTTAGCTACGCCAGCATATAATCCGTCGCTAAGTTTAGCAACGGAGACATCCGTCGTAATGTCCGTTGCAACAATTGCGATTTGTTTGACAAATATTTCGTCACAATATCCGTCGCTAGGATTGTAGCAAAAATTCCATCACCAAATCTGTTGCTAGTTATGTACAGGGATATCCATTGCAAAATTCATCGCAAATTTTGTAATAATTTGAAAAAAATATTAAATATATAAATCTCACATTCTAATATTTCTTTTTAGCATATTATATAGCAATAATGGAATACACAAAACAAACACCACACTTTTCCAATTAACATAAAATTAAATCAAAAAAAAAAAAAAAAATTACCATTGCTAGAATCAATAATTACAATATCCATAACTTACAAAATTGCATTTTTGATAAATTTAATTTCGTCCAACATCAGTAATGAAAAACCATCCAAACAATTTCATAATTGTAGCATAACAATGTTGCTTCACCAGTTTTCCACTTATCTCCTGCTACAACCTTGGAGATATATTTTGGCGCTATTCCCATCCATCTAGTAGCACCTCAATAAAATATATTGGACTTGTCCCTATTCAAGCAAAGAAAACAAAAATAATTATAATCAGAAATATACATTTTTTACCTCCTACATCAAATCCATTAGCACTAGCAGTAAACTACTAATATAAGACACAAATATGAACATTCTCATGCATGATTACCTTTTGATCATGCATAGACTACTGACCGAACAAATTCTACACTCTGCCTGGTAATTCATTGATAATATGTTCATAAGACTTGTGTTTTTCACCTGCCAAAGTCAAATACCAGAAATAATCTACGTTATGATTAAGATTACAAGTGAAATAATAAGCTTAAACCTCAATGCCAACATTCTGAAATAAACCTCGGAAGTGAGACTTTGTGTTAACCAGGTTTGCCAGAATTGGTAAGAAATTCTGAAATAAAAAAATTCAGCACCCGGTTAGGCAAGCTGTGGAATTGACCAGCTAAAATATTTAATGCAGCAGCAAATCAAATACAATGATCAAGGAACCTCTGCAAGCACAATACCAACTATAACAATAATATAAGAAAACTATAGTAAACGAATGTCATACATGGTAAAGGTATGTAAAGCGCCCAAGAAACCACTTTAATCAGAACGGCATAAATTAATTACTATACTTAGTAGTAAGTTATAAAAGTATATATAACATAACATACCTTATAAGCTCCTCTATCGCAGTATATCAAAATCTAGCATGCCTGCGAAATAACAATATGCATATCATTAATGGAAATGATTGAACTCAACCACACCAAAATATAAACTAACCTGCAGTAGATATAAAAAATATAATAGGACAACGAGCAATCAACTTAAGTGAATCCTATTATGTTGGAATCCAATACCTATACATG